CAACCTAGAACTAAGGAGAAACTTCCTGACAGTTAGAACAATTAACCAGTGGAACAACCTGCCTCCAGAAGCTGTGAATGCTCCAACACTGGAAGTTTTTAAGAAGAGACTGGACAGCCATTTGTCTGAAATGGTATAGGGTTTCCTGCCTGAGCAGGGGGTTGGACTCGATGACCTCCAAGGTCCCTTCCAACTTTATTGTTATTATTATTAGTAGTAGTAGTAGTAGTAGTAGTATAGTAGTAGTATAGTAGTAGTAGTATTAGACGTGTCGTGACTTTTTTCTCCTTGCCGTTCCAGAGGATAATTGAAACAAGGAGAATGAGATTGGATGGAAACTATTGGATGAAGCTGATTCATCTCATGTTTTATTTTCCAATCTCAGGATTAAAGCTAGGAGAAAATGTTGACCTAGTTCCTGCAAATAATTAAAAATGCAATTTTAAAATATATTATTGAACAAGATAATATAATACTGATAGTCAAGAGATCACTGTTGTTACTTGAATCATAGAGAGGAAATAAAGGTATATGACAGACCCATTTTTTTAAAGTAACAAAATCTAGGTCTCAAAATATTTATTGAAAGATATACCAGTCTTCTGAGGCTTACATTATTTAAAATAAATAGATAAATTCTTGGGCCAAGTACATAGTTTGGTAGCATAAATTATACTCTCAGAAATATATTTTAAATGTAGATTGTCTCATACACTCCAAATAATAACTTGACAGAAGTTGTAAGTCAAATTATTTAAGCCTCAGTGGAAAGGTTATCTATTTTTATTAGTTTATTAATCAAAATATACAATAGCATCTTTGAAAGCATTACAGGCAAAATAGTAAGTCATAGCAATACGAAAAATCTATATTTATATGATGTTCAAATGTTTAGTTTTTGAGATGTTACATGGATAATTCAGAGACACTTCAAGAGAGAATGTGTGAAGGGACCAGTTTTAAGCAAGTTTCTTAACAAAACAAAGCACAGTGGGGGGTTAGTGAAAGTAATAAAGGATTGTTTGTACGCAGGTACATGTGTATGTGTATAATTGAAAGCATTCAATGTGGAAACTTTAAAGGCGTGCTCTCTCCATCATCTTTCCTTCTGCGCTAGGCATGATAAAAATATACTTTGCAGCTATGACAATAATTATACACTTATAAATTTGCTTTCCCAGTCACCAACACCCGTCAGCATTATTTGGTTGTGCAGGTAATAATTTGAATGCATATAAGTGGCATGAAAACATATGGAGGAGTGAGACTCACAAACAATAACAAGGACTGAGGAGAATATGAGAATAAACAGGAATTGAAGACTGGTTTGTTATTGGAAGGATAACAGACCCAGAAACCACAAAAAAAATTCTCCAAAGTTGTTCAAAATAGTCAGGTAAATAAATCCCAAAGCAACTTAATAACTCATTTTAAATTCAGTTATTTCTAATTTAAGAGTTGTGCATGTTACATAGTATCAGTTCCACACTTCCGTTTTCTATGTTGCCACTGCAAATTTTCTATCAGGAGATCTTGATCACTTCTTGAACAAGATCAGTGATGGTGAGAAAGCTGCCCAATCCAATGGAAAGGGTGTTAGGTGATATCAGTCCTACCCTACCATAGGACAATTCAGCAGAGTGCATGGTTCTCAGTTTATACCTGATGACTAGTCAGTGCCAACATGGCTACGTTTTGAGGATCGTTTCTTATCAGTGGTGGGATTCAAATATGTGAACAACCAGTTCTCTGTGTGGATGCTGCTTCCGGAAGTCCATTCTGGGCCTGGGCAACAAAAAAATAGCTACCGGTTCTGCCGAAGTGGTGTGAACCGGCTGAATCCCACCACTGTTTCTTATGCAATAAAAGGGAATTCCTCAGTGGAACCACAGTATAGAAATGGTTCCTTGAAGGAAAAAGGTTGAAGCCTTCCGAATTCAGACAGTAAAAAGAAAGAGATGTTCCAGCAGACCCTCTATTTTCTCCAGTATTGTCTTTAAAGTAAACCTATTGGATATTCTTCAGCTTCTTGCCACAGTGTTTCATCAGGTGAGTGGAGTTGAAATCAGAGCTGCTGCCAAACTGTCATTAATCAGAGTCTCAATTATCTCTTCAAAGCCAGACAATCTTCAGCACATACTCAATAAGATCCCACAAACAGCAATTTATCTCTAATTATCTAATCATCCTTCTCTAAATCTGCCACTTCTTATCAATAATCTTATTACTGTAATTAATTGCAGAGTTCATTAAGTACACAGAGCACGGTAAAAGTATACATAACACCCAAATTCCACCACATCGAACAAGGAGCAAAATGCCTGAAAAAGATATCTTCATTCCAGAAGAAAACCCAGTGTGATCTCTTTAATATTAATAAAGGAGAGGAATAAAAATAGAATGGCAATTCTCTCAGGTCTCCATAACGACTCTGATACATAGTCCTTACCTTTAGTGAAATATATCACTATTCCAAAGCCACACAAAATTGTTTCAGTGTAGGTGGATTTCAGTAGCAGTTGTGTTCACAGACCCTTGTAGTCTCTAAAAATAGTAGAGATTAGCAATGGAACATAATTTAATTTTCTGAATACAAAATAAAGAAGACTACGACAGTAAATCTTATTTAATTGGGTTGTCAAATGTCTATGAATTTGAAAACAAAGTGAGTCCTTTTAAACACAAGATACTACTTTATACATATTCAGGAATACCCTTATATAGACAGAAATGCACCAGAAGAAAACAAAAAATGGTAAGAGTTACAGAGGCAATAGCAATATGTTTTGAAATGGCTCTGTGAACTTCTGCAACCTGTGGGTTCTCATTCAGGATATAAAGAAAAATCTATTTCTTTGCTAAATTGGCAAACTTGGGAAACTTCTGATTCCTTAATATTTCTAAGGGTTCATGTGTTATCTTGGGAACAGCCATCATTAATGTACTTTTTCCACACTATTCATAATAGAACCTCTGCATTATTGTCTATAAAGACTCTGTTCAGTTCTCCACAAGAGGCCTCATACATTTAGGGAACATTTTAAATTAAGTGCATTTATAAATGCAAGCACTAAATTATCTGGCCAATTACAGACATTTAATGAACTAATTGTAATAAATAAACTGTGTGAGTCTCGACCCAGTTTTTGGTATAAAAGCACTATTGCCACCCATACTTAGTAGGAAAGATGTCCAGGATTGAGAGCCGTGTTGCAATTTATCTATAAATTATGTATAGCATTTATCCATCAATGGGTCAGATGGGAATCGGTCATTTATTATGTAAGAGTGCCAAATAGAAAATTAAGAAATAAATTCCATTTGTCCCTAAAGACTTATCTTCCTCATAAGACAGTGCCAATACAGCTTTCCTCAGAAATCACAGATCATTTGTTTAGAGGTTGTCCAGATTTTTCAATTCCCATGAGTGTGTTTTCTGGATCAGACTGGAAATCCTGTCTGGACTTAAGACCAATGGTAAATACATCCCAAGGAGTTTAACATTCCTTATCCCCCACTTTAAGGGCTACGGTTCAGTTGTGTAAGCTAGATAAGGTACTTCTGGAAGCACAATCAGCCATCAAGCCAGAATCTAAGGGCTGATTTCTCCACCCGGATGTTCTGCAGATACACCAAAACCAAAACTCCCCCAGTCTGTGGCCAACATATCCACAGCCTCTGAAGTGCCACTTATAAGCAGGTTTTTATAATAAATAATAGTCCATATTTGCCTTTATATGTTGATTGGAAAAGCTCTGTTAGTCACTTACTTTGGTGTCAACTCAATCAGTGAACCATTAGCCCTGAAATATGAGCATTTGTGGCTGAGACTGATAGCATTACATCCAACGATGTATACATCTAATGCATTAGGGTTTGTAATTGGATTATTATGATGAAACTGAGATGCCTCTTCAAATAGAATACCATGAAAGTGAACATGCAGGATGGACTTTCTGGCCACTATAATTACCTGATTTCCTTCCAAGGTAAAGGATAAGAAAGCCTTAATGATTTCATCAAGTTTGAAGCTCTCCTTGGATTTTGTCAGAATAAGGCAGTGATGGTGAACTTTTTAGAGACCGAGTGTCCCAAAACCACCCTGTGCCTGCCCCCCGGTCCGCCCTCACTCTGCCCGCCCCACCACCACCCTGCCCTGCCCACCCGCAGGGCCACCCACCACCTCCATGACCCGATGCAGATCGCCCAGGCGGCCCTGCAGCACCATGGCAGCCACACCCTCCGCCCGCATCCCACAGCATCTGCACTTGATGGGGCGTGAAGGCAGAGTCTTATCCCCGCTGTCCAGCTGCCATGTCCTTGGCTGCACTGCTCTGCATGGACCACACCTGGGGGTGACTCTCCTCCGGGGGGGCTGCTGGTGAGGAGGGGGCTGCGGGGGGAGGCGGGGCTGGGGCGACGGCACGTGTGCCCAGAGACAGCTCTGAGTGCTGCCTCTGGCATGTGTGCCAGAGGTTCACCACCACTGGAATAAGGCATTGGAATGGAGGAAGATGTCACTTTCATACCAATACAGTTAATTTAAGTCCACTAGATAAGAGACTGGGGTATGGAAGGGAAGTAGTTTCATAGGAATACAGCTGGACCAAAATGTTTTTGTGCTAGAGTCAGATGCAAGTTGGAAAAGGCCTAAATCCTCACATCAGTATCAAGTTAAAGGCTACTTCTTCAATCTTCTGCATTCACAAGTTGTCAGCAAGAAAAGTCAAGAATGTCCTTCATGGACCAGGCAGAATCAGTCAACTAAGCTTCCTATCATTGCTCTTTTACATTGCAGGGGTATTGAATATTGCCATATTCATCACCTTAGACGAGTCTATGACTTCACACTTAAGATTTCAAGGTCACTTCATGCCTTTCCCCTTCTTTTTGTGTTAAAATACAAGTACAACTATTTTTTTTTAAAAAAAAAACCAGGTGTTTAACCTTGCAGTTTGTCAAGCTTTTAATTTCAGGCTTACTACGGTTGGTCTTTAATATGCCATACATTTCCCATTACAGTTCTCTTTCAAGCCACCGTGGTGGGGAATATTGAACAAGTTCAAAGACTGTGCAGAGCCACTGAGATCAAATTGCTTCCATTGAGTATGGATGACCAACTCATCCACTGTGGCGGCAGCTTTTACCAGCCTTTTCATCATGCTGTTCTGTTGAATAAAGGGAGTTTGCATTTTAAAAGAGCCTAAAATATTAAGATTCAGAAAGTCAGAACTTGCTTTTAATACTCAAATCTCACTTTAATTCCCAGAAAGTTATGTTATATAGTGCTTGATATCTCACTGTGAAGAATGGTAAGTGGAAATCTACACAAAGGGATAAAGACAGTATGCTATTTCTTTGTAGAAATAAAGTGAACACAGTGGGGAACTTTTAAAAATGAAACTAGTAGTCTCATGATACCAGCAAAGGTTATTATTGAGTTCCTTTATTAATGATATTTAATTTTTCATCAAAGCAGTGAATTGCAACAGAGTGCATTACATATCTACTTGATGTAATACTCATATCTGTATCCTGCCATATTCCCTTATATATCCTTTAACAATATTTTTTAAAAAATAGAAAAACAGGGGGAGCTACAACTCAGTTTTTCAAGCATGGATGTTAAAGTGTTAAGATTTTTTACTGAGATTTTTCCCCCCCCAACAAATGCTTGAGAGGCTTCTCAAAATAATAAGACTGTGTTTGTGCTAGAGATTTAAGATTCTTGGTGCATTGTGTTTAGGATGCAAAGCAATTCAGATTTTAACAAAGCATTTGTATTGCCAATAATCTCACACGCTAAGTGCACACTGGTATTTCTTTGTCAGTAATCAGATACATTCCTTGGAGACAAAATGGATCTGGCCACTTGCCATGGATTTTGATAATAGTTTACCAGCCCCCATCTGAATCAGTTATAGTTGGATATTGTCTTGAGGACAAGTTATCTCCAGAGAAAGCTGTTTTCATTCATTTGGGGGGTGGATATATGCTGTGGCTCTTCTGTCACCATTGTGGGCATTTTATTATCAATAATTAGGCTTCCTGATGACATTCTTATCTCATATTTTCACCTAATGGGGGAACACCACAGTTAACTATAGTGAAAATGTAAAAAGGATCACCATAGAAACTTCAAAAACAACAAACAGTGTTATAATAAGCAACTAGTGTTTGGAAATTATTGGATCACTCAAGGAGAATTACAGAAATCCTTATTTACTGTAAGCTTTTAATATGAACTCTCTTCTATGGTTTTCCCACTAACTCAAAAAGCTGGTTTGGACAAGCAGGTATGAGCTTAGCATATGCAATTAGAAACATATAATTTGAGCAGTCAGAAATACAGTAACACTGCAAAGTAGAGGGCAGGAGAAGACCATCATTGACAACAGAGTAGAAATATTTTTTTTAAACAAATTAGTTCCATTCCAAACTCTTACATTTACTTTCTACATTACAAATTTCACCTTGTTTAATAACCTTGTCACTTTTTCTCTGCATTGCTAAGACATGAATCATCGGTAAAGAAACATCTCAAACATACCCATTTATGCCTCAAAGTGTGTATGAAAGTCTCTTTTTGAAGCCAATGCCAAAATTTAGCTCTGGAGAAAAAAATCCAGCACAACAGCACTTGCTCTTTGAATCATGTAACAGTAGTAGGAGTACTAAAAAGTGGTATTTTTCTCTGCATTTGATGACTTGAAGCTTAATTAGCAAATACAATTATTCAAAAATGGGGCTTGAATTGCTTGCTGTATGTTTTTATATGCAATTCAACACAGTGGTGTTGATCTTTCAAGGTTCTCATGGTTTAGGACCAGTACGCCCAAAAGACTATCCATCTCAAACATATGCCCATCCCTTCCATTCTAGCCCCCCTTGCCAAACGAATTGTGGCTGAAAGGAAACAGGGAAGAGGAGCTTTTTATGATTTGGATCTCTGTTGATGGAATGGTCTTCCCGTTGAAGCTTGCACAATATTTATGTCACCATTTGAAAAGGTTTCAGCTGAAGTCAGCTTTTCTCATGCTGGCAGTACACTACAAATACACCAAGATTATAACTTCCAGAAATATCAATTAGCACAGCTAATTGGGAATTTTGAGAATTATAATCCCAACATATCTGAAGACCTAAGACTGACTTACATGAATTTCTATGCCTGTTTACCTATTATTTAAACATGTCCTGTTTTGTAAATTGGATAATAGTTATTACTTATTTATGGTACATAAACCAAGCAGGCACCTTTTATTTAAAAATGTAATAAAGTTGAAACCCTGTGGTGTGCTTGAATATAATTCAACTCGTCTTTCATTTTTTGAAAGATGTATATATGCATGAAACAACACTGGGCGTTTATTTATTCTGTGAAGCAAATACCAAATAAGAAAATATGACTTTTTTTTTTTTGACAAGGCTGCTAGAAAAAGAGAAGTGAACTGAAGTCTAAATTTGCAGGAGGAGAGCAACCCCTGCTAAAATCCATTTGGATGGTTTCTCTTTAGTCTTCAGGTTAAATGTCCAAATATAGGTAGGACCCCGTTGGCGTGTTTTATATACAGGACATGGATATACGTTGCGTGTGTCTTGCTTGTCAACAAGGATGGCTTTGATGAAAATAATTGGCATGGGTGGAGTCAAGTCCTTCAGTCTGGCATCAGCAATTAATCCAGTCTGCAAAGAATAATTTTAAAAAATGAGATATTGCTAACTCTGCCTATTCTTCTTAAAGAGGTAAATCATTCTAAGTACAGAACTTCATGAAAACACCATTTTGATTACACTACCAAAATATTCATAACAGCCAGCTTCACACTAGAAACATCACATTTGCCTCAAAGCAAGACATTTCACGGTTACACACTTAGAAGTGATTTGAAGTAAACTATTTTGCACACCCTACCCTTATTGCTGTGTCCAAAAGCTTCTGTGTGAAGTATGTTAATTTGTGCAGAGTTTTGAAAATTATGAAGCAACTATGTAATCACTTCTGTAGATATTTAACTGTTCCTTCAGAATTAGCAAAGTTTGAACTGCTTCAAAGAGGTTAATCCTTGTAAACATAAGCCTGAACAATGAGTGAACCATGAAGCAGAGCAAAACAGAAATCCAACCAAATATGACTAAGACACTCAACACTAGATGGAAGGTAAAAAATACCTTCAGCAGCTTCAGAGAGGGCAATTTAGGTGAAAAAAATATGACGCACATGTACACAGATTAAGCTCCTCTTCTCCCCATGCTGCCGCTCTGATCAGATTTGGACTTTTCTGCAGTTGTTTTTAATCATACATTAAAACAGTGTGATACACTGCTTGAAAGGAAACTTTGCCTTTGCATGCAGCATTAGAAATACAAATTGGTCACTGAGTAGGCAAGTATAAACCAAACAACGGGCATCAATCTGGACTCAAAGAGCAGCACCGATAAGTGCAGAGACTTGAATAGAAAGTGGAAAGAATCAGGGACTTCCAGTTTTGTGAGGTAGCGACCGGTTGTGGGCTTGAGGATTCTCCACACCCCCGTGGCTAATTTCACCCTGCCAGGGGACCCTAAATGGGTCTAAGTCACCCTGGAGAGGCGGCGAAGAAAGAAGGGTGCTCCAGTGATTCTAGAACAGCGGTGGTAGTTCTGTTCAGTTTGGAGAAAGCCTTCTAACCCGACAGGAGAAAGTCTGGCCATATTGCATCAACCAGCCCAAGCTACTAGCAACCAAAGTCCAAAAGTACTAACCAGCACAACTGTGAACAACGTGCTTGAAACTGGGTGAGGAATTCAATCCTGGAAAAGATCCCCAAGAAGCAAAATACCTCCGAAAGGGAAGGAGGGGGATTTCTGCCCCACCCTTATACTAACGGAAGCGGCTAATTAATCTTTTTATGGAGGATCAAAATATATGGAAGTGAAATAAATATAAAACCTGAAATTTAAAACTTAAATCTGGATAAATCTAAAATTGTTGAATGGTTAAGACTCTCATTCGAAAGATAATTGTTCATTTTGGAAATTAAAAACACCTAGTGGTGGATAAAGACTATGACAGCTATGACTTTAATATAAGACTTGGCAAAACCTGGGAAAAGTTAATCTGTGTTTGTGACCTTCAAAGCTTTAACAACAAAGAACAGCTGTGACAAAAAAAAGACAATAATCTGGGCTGTAGACAAAGAGAGAATTATACATTTCAGAAAAAAAATCTTTTTTGAACTATTTGGATTACAAATATCTATTTAATTGGGACTCTAAAGCTATTTGCAGAGAAAAGAAAGGAAGAGAAAAACTCAAATTCTTGGCTATCATGGATCAGAGACATGTAAAAAAAACATATCAAGAAAACATAAATACTTCACAGGAGGAGATATATAGTATACTGCAACTAATTCAAACAACAATGACTTTAAACCACAAAGAAATCCAAAATAACTTTGAAAATATAAATCAATCTATTTCCAAATTAACTCTACAACAAACAAATTCCCAGAAAATAACAACAGAGAAGGAGCAGATAAAACAGATAAATGGATATAGAATTGAAAATAGAGACTTAAAGATGGAACTTAACAAAACAAGGAAACATGATTTAATCCTAGTGGGAAAAAATTCACAAGAATTGGAAAAAACAACATCCCTTAAGACTACAAAATAAATATGAGGACAAGAAAACAGATGGGATAAAATGGACTGTAGAGATGTCAGGAACATCGGAGAGAAAGGAAATGATAAGAGAAGCAGAGAGAAAGAAAAAGAAAAAGATTTTCAACAAACATGGAAAGGCATAAGCCCCGTACAAAGACACTTCACCTGATTTACTTTTTATATCTACAGTAACATTTATGAACATACGGAAAAACCTTTTGATTCAGAAAAATACATTGATTAAGAAAGATACTGGGCAAAGGAAAAAGACTAAAGTGGAAACCAAGAAAATAAATGATGGGACTTACCAGAGAGAATACTTAAAAAAGGAACATTTGTTTGAATATGGTTAAAGAAAAAGAAAAGATTTGGAATATATATGTCATTCTAAGAGGGATGAATTCCCTAAATAATATAGTATGCTTTTTTCCCTTTTTTATTCTCTTTCTTGATATGAGTAATATAAAAAAGTTGAAATGACTTAGATAAAGGAAATTTTTAGATATTTAAATGTGATTGAATTTAAGAAAAGTATAATGGATAAAAAATGTTTTGAATAAGAGTTAAAGGACTAGCTGACTAGCTGTATTAAATGGAATATTTAAAGATTAAACATATTTTTAATTATAGTTAAAAAGAATAAGAAATTTTGGAAACAAATATATATTAGCTTAGGAGGGGTATATATTTTAAGTAGTATGTTATTTTTATGTTTCTTTACTCTTGCTCTCATTTCTTTTCTTTTTTTTCACTGTTTTATCTATTCCTTGAGAAATGTAAAAGTGTGACATGGTTCATACGGAAAAAAAATAGAATTAAATTTTTAAATGTAATTAATTTTTGAGAAAATCTTAACCAGTAAGAATACCTAGAATTTGGTGGGAGAAACAAATTAAAATAAGGACTGTAACAGGCAACCAGACTGATTGGATAGAAAAGAAATATTATATTGATGTGATTATTATTTTTAGGAATATTGGGAAAAATATATAGTTAATTGTTATCTATCAAAATAATAAGAATTGTATTAACTCAATGTTTGCAAAAGAGGAAATCAACTAAAGCCATTATGTGGATTATGGATTATAGAAATCAATTGTTAGTGATTGTTTTACAAATGTAAACCCAGACAACACACTGTTNTTGTCAGAAGATTGCAAAAGGTGATCGCATGACCCCGGGACACTGCAACCATCATAAATATGAATCAGTTGTCAAGCATCTGAATGTAAATCACGTGACCATGGGGCTGCTGCAATGGTCATAAGTGTGAAAAATGGTCATAAGTCACTTTTTTCTGTGCCATTGTAACTTTGAATGGTCGCTAAGCAAAATGTTGTAAGTTGAGGACTAGCTGTATAGAAACATGGAAAAGAGAGATGAGCAAAGCTATTAAAATGATATCCCACAAATCACTGTTTCCTCTGGTATCTAAGCACCTCCACCTTTCCAACCAATGATTAAAAATAGCTAATGAAGATGGAGGAGGAATCCCTGCATGGATAATTAATGCAGAAACAGGAAATTCACTAACATTCAATTCTTGTTTTTGCCTTAATTAAGACAATGCTTATTCTCCAGAATATACCCTTCCATTAGCTAGAAAGACAAGGGCAACCTGATGATTAATTAGCAATACAGACCAAAATGAAAAGGATGGTGTAGAAGTCTTGGCTGAACTAAATAGGTAAGGTCCCACCTGAGAATGTATACACGACTCTAAACTTTTGTGCTTTAGAGTGTCTTGGAAATCTCTCCTCAAATCCTGTTTTAATAGTACAAATTTGCTTCCATAAAGTTTTCTTTTGTTCTCATTTAAATACACCAAATTAAAAAAAAAAGTTTTCAGGTAGCTGGCCAGGCCTAAACCTGGTATAAAGAAATTCTAGACTATGCCTTTGGAGAGCAATTCCACTTTAGCAAGATATTTCCTTTTAAAGTGATGGCTACAATCAAAGCTGACAGTTCCCCTCCCATCCTTTCCAAAGATTAATTTCTAGTGGATATGTATCCCAGAAAGATTGGCTACACATTGCACAGTAATTTTTAAACTGTCATCCATTGGACCCATACAAGAATACATATATTGCTACTGGAAGAAAAATCAGCTTGTTTACTTTAACATAAAAATGCTTTTATATTCTCATCACATATATCCCTAGTTGGAAAAAGACATGTTTAAGCACTAAGAACATAATTATTTTTATGTTGTGTTTCACAGCAAAACATATCCATAGAAAACGACTTTAAAATAGTTATTGTTTGTTCTTGTCAAAGATCAGTGGAAGTCCCCACTGATTTTGCCTCAACTGCAGGGCCGATGAGCTCAAAGGGGAAATGTTTGGGGGGGGGGAGAGAATTGATCCTGATATGTCTGAATAGTTTTGCTTGAAAAGTTTTGTTACTGAAAAATTCTTCTTCAGTGAAGTAGCCAGAACATCTTTTGAGATTTCTTTTCATGTCCCAGAATCAAGCTATTGTATCCTTTTTTTTCTATTCTATTCCTGAGTATGCCCAGATGCACAAAATAGTTGCCCTTTTGAAGCCTAGAATTATTGTCAAGTTTGGATAACTCATGTAATCTTGCATTTTAGAATTCAGTACACACAAATGGGAGTTTAACTTTAACTTTGGGAAGCTACCTATTTTGTGTGTGTGTGTGTGTGTGTGTGTGTGNGAGAGAGAGAGAGAGAGAGAGAGAGAGAGAGAGAGAGAGGGAGGGAGGGAGGGAGGGAGAGAGAGAGAGAGAGTTAGTTCTGTTAGTTGCTTGTAATATTTCTGCTGTTAAAGTTGACAAGAAGCAGATGATTACGAATAGCTGGTATAGTCTCTCAAATGTTGCTTATATTTTTTTTAAATTAAATTTTAGTTTATTCAGTGGTTTTTTTAGTGCATCACCCATACCTTGGGAAACTCAGAATCTAGGGGGCAGGTGTGTACATTAAGATTGCACTAAAAGGTGTCATGGCAAAAAGTTTAGGAACCCTTGCACTAGAGTGACACAACATCTGAAGGGCAATGATTAAGGGAAAGATATCCGAGAAAAGCAATCAAATACAGTAGTTATAGGTCCTTCATCTTCCAGGTGGACTTTGAAGAGGAAAGCTCTGGGAAAGGGCCTGGGCTATCAGCTCAGCAGAAACTGTCTGATAGAAAGTGCTTGGAGTGTAGCCATGTGTACAAAAATGATTCACAAGAAACACAACAGCCTGGAAAAAAAGAGATCCAGAGAAGACTGGTGTTCTTCTCAGCTTTTGCTATTCCTCTAAGTTTCTAGTTCTCATCCAGGTTCTTTAAGACCTTATTCTTTAATACCTTATTGCTGGACCAGAGCATCACGATTAATCTGCCATTCATTCAAGTATCTTGTCCTTTTTACAGGAAAGTAAATGCCAGCCTTCGTTGTTCTACCTTCTCAGGCCCAGCATTTTTCAGCTTATGCTTACACCTTTCAGAAAGCCCCATGAGGCCCCCAGCCTCGGAGCTCCAAGCCTTGGTTCCTCTTGCTGGGGCTCATGCAAGGTCAAAATCTGAGCAATGAGATGGCTCTGACCTGATACTCTGATATGGACAAGGCTAAAGAATAAAAGTAAGGCATTGATTGGAATGCTTCAGAAATGGGATAGGAGCCAAGAAGCTTTTTAGCTTCAAAGCGAACAGCACCAGCTGTTCCTTTGGCAACGCTTTTCTGTGTTTCCTGCCAAAAATAAAGAGTTGTGGAGTGGGAGGTAGAAGAAGTGTAATGCGCAATATAATGCAGGTGTAATGCCTGTGGAAGCGCAAATTCTGTTATCAGTAAATTACGCAGACAAATTTTGCCTGCTTCTCTTTAAAGCATGGGATTTTGAAATGGGTGTTCAAGGTCTCTGGTGGGAAGAGGATAAAAAAATAAGAAGTTCACTAAGAACCCAATAATTAGAACAATACCAAAATATTTTACATTAAGTCCAATTTTGTTGAACAATTATTTTCAGCATACCTGCTTTGGTTCCATTCATTCAATTTAACCTATTTTTCATCCACGTCCTGGATGATTGAAAGTAGTGTAATCAAGCCCTGCAATTTCTTTTTAAAATCCAAAATGGCTCCTGTGCTGCTTTCAAAAAAGGCCTCCTGTACTACTGGGACATTAAAATAGTCTCCACTGATGCCAATTGTCAATTGGGAAAATTAGAGGGGAAGACTCAGGATCACAGAAGAGATGGGGTGGAGAGAACAACTGAGGAGAAACTAAGCTTCCTAAAGAAGTTGGACCCACAACGGCAAATGAAGATCCAGATTAGGCCTGCACTCTGGAGATGTCCCCCTTAAGCTTATAATTCTATAGGCTGATGGGGCTGGACAGTTCTTTGGGGCCCAAGCTCGGTAGCCATCTAGCCAAAGAAATACAAAGAGCCTTCAGAGTTAAAAAAAAAACAAAAAACTGGGCGCAGTTCTTTCTGAGCTGCCATCAATGTCTCATAAATAAAAAGCACAGAGGAACTCTTTTGAGGCCTCTGCTTCTTGTTTAGCTATTTGGCACAGATTTCTTCCTATCTGAACGTGCTGCAAGCTTCAACACAGAAATGAAAACCCATTAAAAAGTGTAAAAGCAAAAGCTAGGTAAAGTGAATTGGTAAAGTGTTGAGGTTTATCCTCCCCGTCCACATTACCACCACCACCTTCTGCTACATGTTTTATCTGCCACTTGAAACAATGATCAGCTTGAAATCTGGCTTTAAACATTTCACTTGAAATGTTCCACACACTTTTTGTTTTTTTAATGCAACCTTACCAGTTCTTGATTATGGTTTTTAACTTAATCCATCTACAGTATCTCTAAATGATGAATTCCAGGAAAACACCAATTTTGTACTTGTAGTAGTGGGCTATGAATATACATAGCAGAGCTCTTACCCTAGGTAAGAGACAAATGGTATACTTCCCAGAGGTGAGTTTGAATTCTCCTCAGAGAAGTAGCAAATCTAAGTTAATGGTAAGCTA